CTATCTATCTATCTATCTATCTATCTATCTATCTATCTATCTATCTATCTATCTATCTATCTATCTATCTATCTATCTATCTATCTATCTATCTAGTTAAAGTGTTACCAATGAAACTAAACCACACAGCAGAATGTGTGTTATATGTAGATGCCCTTTCCTTCCACCAGTTTGATGACCATTACAGCAGAGTGGGTGCTTTGCTGGCTCAACACAATCCCAATTTCTGAAAGCCTCGGGTATTTTAGCTGTTTGTGGCAGTTTATGTTGGCCTTCGCTGAACGGTAATACAGAAAAAGCTGCCATAAAAATGTCATCTCTCTGTCTCGGCTCAACTTCAAAATGTGCCTTTTCTGACAAGATGCTATAAAATTGAGTTTCCAAGCATCTGACTGTGTACGGCTGGGTGGGATATGCTGTGGTTTGCCATGACTGTGTGGAGACTGCAGGCCAGAGATGATGTGTGGCCATGGAAACAGTGGAGCCTTCATAAAAGCATTGATCCAGTAGGGATTTGGAGTCAGTCATCACATTTGTAGCTGAGTGAAAGATGATGTCATAACCAGCTAAACTACTTAAAGCCTTCATCCCTCCTAAGATGCTTGGGAAAGCTCATTCTGACCAACTCATAAGGTCAGAGATGTGCACACATTGGGATTTTTGTGGGCGACCACATTTGCAGAGTGACTCTTAACTGTGGCAAAGACAAGCAAGAACAAGTTTTACCTCATTAGCATGTTCTCAGGCTTTACTGGGACAAGACTCTACTGATTGCATAAGAGAAGCAGAATGTGTACTTAGTCACTGCTGATTTTTTCCAGACAAGCTTCTGGATCTCTGTCTGCTTGTATGCATATTATTTGCTTGCAGTGAAAGCCCATGTATGTTATAAAATGTGTAAGCATTTAACCATCTGTGCAAACCATCAGACAGATGTTTATGTAAATATGATTATGTCACCCAGTCAGGGATTATGCTGAAGTTAAGACACAGCAAGTCACCTGTTTTATCTTTATAAAAACACATGTCAAAGTCATTTATTATGTTTTTATGTATTTGTGAACATCTAAACCAGGCCTTATAGTTTAACCAATTTCATCTCTATGATCAGGATATGGTCAAGGATATTTATATCATTCTCTGTGGTTTTATGTGGTTTGGTTGCTTTAATGCTATCACCATATGACACCAGATGACAGCTGTGGACACAGCCAAGCAGCACACAGCAGAGCAGGTTCAATTAGATTTGCGCTCCCTGCCATCCATCTCTACAATATCCTTAAAATGGGCACAATCCCAGCATTAGCAGTTACAGCCTGCCCAAGCTCTTTTGCAAATGCACGAAATTGCTTTGGAGCGGAAGGAGAGTGGGACTGAGGACATGGGAAGCACAGGAAGGACAATGAGCGAGGTCAAGTGAAGGGCAGGAGAGTTGAGAGTTAGTGAATCTTCAAAATGACACAATATACACTGTAGTAAAACATGTCAGCTCAAGTCATCTCTGGGAGAGTTTGTGGCTTGAGAATATCACCCTCAGTGACACAACATTAACATAAATATAACTTATAGTTCTGTCTGGTCATTTCACAAAGACTGTAAGATGCATTCCTTTAAGTGGAGGCTTGGCAGACATTCCTCTGCATTCTGACAGGGCGTGCGTGAGTTGACTTGTAATGAATACAAGCTTCCTCTGCAATCTGGATTAAGGGTCCACTTAATGCCCACCCTGTAAGGCTCTTATGGCTCATACATCCATATTCAAAATAAACGATATGTCACCAGCTCACTGGAGCACACCGGGAAGGATATAAGACTACACCCTTCACATCTGTGGAAAACATTAAGAGAAAAAAAAATTCTGATATTTGATGAGTGTAATTTTTTCAGGAAAGTCTATTCAGAAACACCACAACTACAATTCATACTATTATCACAAGGTATTATTACTGTTGCTACTCTTTTAAAGTAGCAACAATTTAACTGTCTTTTTGGCTTTTTTAGGTATTTGCTATCAATTCTAGTCCAAATGTGGCTTAAAACAAGCAATTAAGATTGGAAACTCATCAGGAAAGTGTTTATTGAGGTAACAGATCAACTGAGAAGAAGGGTTGTTTTCCCACAGACTTCTGCACCAGTGCATCTTTCTTACAGGCAGCTAATAAGGAAGCCCCCCTGCTGGTTGCCTGAATTAGGTTTAGGGCACTTTGGCTTTTTTTTTCAGCCTCTCAAGCTACACGGATTTTAGTAGGTATGCCTGCTTAACTCCCTGTCAATGCAAACATCTAATTGACCAATCAGTAACTCAGTGTATTTTAGCATGCTGACAGGATCAGGGCTAGCATGGTGGCACAGTGGTTAGCATTGTCACAGCAAAAAAGTCTGCATGTGTTCTCTCTGATTTCCTCGCACACTCCAAAGACATGCGTGGGGTTACATTATCTGATGATTCCAAATTGGCTGTAGGTGTGAATGCAAATGGCTGTTCACCTCTCCAAGTTGTAACATATTTCTTGCCTTTAGAAACAACACCATCATGACCTTGAATTTTATAAGTGGAAAAGGATGGATGGACATGGTCAAGACAACCTGCTGAAGTTCACACCGGACATAAGAATGAAGGTGACTTAAGTATCGTGGCAGCAGTTGTTTGGCTGGTCTGAGTATTTTAGAAATTGCTGATCTACTAGGATTTTCCTGCACAACCATCCCCAAATAACCACTTGTTAAAAACAAAGCACGCAGAAGAGCATTTCTGAACACATGCTGAAACTTAAAACAGATGGGCTACAACAGCATAAGACCACACTGGGTGCCACTCCTGTCAACTAAGAAGAGCAAACTATAGTTCACACAGCCTTACTAAAATTGTATAGAAGATTGGAAAAATGTTGGCTTGTCCAATTAGTCTGGGATTTCTGCTGAAATATTCAGATGCCATTGAGCTGAATTCGCTGCATACAACATGAAACAATGTTGCATTCAAGTCCTGCTTTATATCAACAGCTCAGGCTGTTGGTGGTGTAGCGGTGTGGGAAAATCCTTTAGCACACTTTGGACAACTTGGTACTAACTTAGCATCATTTAGCCACCACAGCCTTACTGATTATTGTTGCTGACCATGTCCATCCCTTTATGATCACAGTGTACCCATCCTCTGATGGCTGCCTCCAGCAGGATCATTTCAAATGTGACTCAGTCTAGTAGAACACCTTTGGAATGCTCTATTGGATTGGAATGGAAGATTCCCATAATGTATGTGCCGCTGAAAAATCTGGAGCAACCGTGTGGCTATCAGGTCACCATGGACCAAAATGTCTGTTTTCAACACATTACTGAACCTATGCCATGACGAATTAAATCAGTTCTACAAGCAAAAAGGTTAAATTCCATCTTTTATATACAGCCTATGTTCCCAATGTCAACATAAAACATCATTTAATGATTATTTTTTTCCCTAACATTAAAGATATTAACATTTATCAGCAGACACAGATAATTCAAACAATTAAAATCACTGTACCTGCTTGCCTCGATTAAGTTTAAACCAAACATTTGTGCAAATGAACAAAGAAGAAGAAATCTCTCCAGGCTTTTCAGAAGAATAAAAAATCTGACTTTAATATATATTAATTAGCAAAATTATTCAGAAAACCTCACAAATTCACTCCAACATTAAAAACAAACGTTAGAAAATCAGCTAGCAATGAGTTAACTGAGCATTAAAGATTACACCAAAGCCCATCAAACAGCTTGATATGATATAAAATAAGACATTAGAGAAATGTACCATTGAGCACTTACCAGACAATTCCCTGAGCTCCAGAACCAATGGGCTTTAAATTCTGGTAGCGTTTTAAAACTGTGAAGGTAGAGTCTCCCACTTCCACACTGTAGAACTGGTTGTCCACTTTGCTTTTGCTCATGTTGTAATGCTTGGCAATATATGACACATCCACTTGTTTTCCAAAACCCTGCAAAGGGATGACATAAAATGCATATGTAACACATCTAGGCTGCACATTTGTTTTTATTAGGCTACTCATTTTAAAATCAATATCGAATCATTGTTATACGTTATATGATATATAGCCATAATAACCATCATTAATATCTAAGAAGAGCATCACATCATAACATGCATTTAACTGCTGTAAAGGCAAAAAAAAGCATACATTAAGGTATATTTGGTAAAAATGGTAAAGTAGAATAAACAAGACAGGACATAAGGTTTAGCCGAGTTTACAGCTGAACGAATTCAATGCAGAAATATAATCTCTGTAAAAGCCCCTCTAACGACATTAGCTTTAGTCCTTACTTGACTACATTTCACCCGGCAATCAGGCTGTAATTACTTGGGCAAAGCAGGCAACCAAATGGTGCCACAACAAAGCATATCAGGTAATTAGAGACTTGGTAATTATAACACAGCTCACAAAACAAGCAAAGTTACTGCATATGCACTGCTATGGTTGAACCATCTTCTTTGTGCACAATGGAAGATTGATAAATCTGCTTTAAGGCGCTGAAGGTCAATGTCCTCCAAACTTATGATCAGATTATTCCTATATATCTGGTATCTTTAGCAGCTATTAAACATTCAGCTAGAATCTCGTGTGCAGTGCAAACATCCCAATCTATCTGAGCTCCAACTGAATTGTCTGTGTTTTTTCCTTATAACAAGCAACATATGGAATCACAACCCCAGCTGAGTTCTGTATTTACACTGTGGAGACAGCAATTAAGCTTCAGTAATGAGCAGATTATACTGCATTCTTTTTGGTATAGACCTCAGTTAAAGAGGAATAGTGGAGGTGTTGAACAAAAGTAGAAAATCAAGGCTAGCTGAATTGTTTTGATATACATAATGAATTATCAACAAAAGGCTGAAAACACGTCAACTTCTGATAAAGGCTCCTCAAGGACATTTGCTTCAAACCTCTTAATCAAACCATTTTGCACACATTGTGTTGTTTTTCTTAATTAAACATTTCAAATTATTTTTTGAGCACACAACTGCTTAAGAGCTCATTTTGCATACACAGGGGGAAAAAACCCATACAGAGTAAGAATAGAGGGAATGGAAGTGAATGAATACTGTACCTTTTTTACCTGTAAGGAACACACACCTGACAAAAGGCTATCTTTACATCCAGGACTGGTTGGCTGCAGTTATATAAGAAATGTCTGCTCATAAATACCTGAAAGACACAAACAGAGGAGAAGCAGAGAGTGAGCACATGTAGGTGTGGGTGTGGGTAGTGGCAATTTGTCACATATACAATGGCAAAACAAAGATTTATTATTGTATTTCTGCAAAACAACACTCACACCTCTCCCCGTGTGTGGACTGAAACCCACCAGGAAAATTCACTTGTGTCCTCTCTACTCTGTTCCCATCATTCTCAATAAAAATGAGAAAAACAACAATTCGTCACCTCCCAGTCCTCGATAAATATGAACTGACCAGTTATCGATTCTTCATCAGAGCACATTGCAGTGTGGTTGCAGTGATCAATGCGTGTTGAAAATAAGACATGAGGAGGTGGTCCCATTGATGAGTGAAAGACGATGAGAAGATATTTGCTGATGAATTCCAAAACAGCTGAAAGCAAGTTTTCCCTTTTAAAATGGATTAAAACAGGTTTTGTGTGAATGTAAATTTAAAGCTAACAGTATAATCTATTTTTTTTTTTTAAACGTGCTTTCTTTTGCCCTTTGTGTGAGATCTGGTTCGTTAAATTTTAGATAGCTTAGCTTGAAGACAGGAGAGACAAAGAAATAGCTGCCCAAAGTTTAAAAAATAATTACTGATCAGCACCCTTAAAAACTAGTACCCCCATTCATTAGCTTCTAAAACCACTTCAGCTTTTTTCTGTGTGACTTTTTCAGTCTTTTATATCATTGTGGAAGAATTTTGGCCCACTCTTGTTTACATTGCTTCTCTTCACTGGGGTTTACATACAAACATTTATGCACTGCTGAGGTCTGGACTTGGACCGGACAACTGCAACACCTCAATTCTTTTCTTTTTCACTCATCCAGTTGTAGATTTGCTGCTTGGGATCATTGTTCTGTTGCATTACCCAATTCTTCCCAAGCTTTAGCTGTTGGACAGATGGCCTCACGTTTGAAATTGAAATACTTTGGTATGTAAAAGGAGTTTATGGTCCATCCAATGACTGTAAGCCATCTAAGTCCTGCAGTTGCAAAACAACCCAAATCACTCCACTGCCATGCTTGACAGCTGGTATGAGGTATTTGTGCTGATATGCTGTGTTTGTTTTTTGCCAAATGTAAGGTTTTATCTATCCATCCATCCATTTTCTTCTGCTTGTCCGGCCAGGTCGCAGGGGCAGCAGCCCAAGCAGAGAAGCCCAGACCTCCCTCTCCCCAGCCACCTCCTCCAGCTTATCTGGGGGAACACCAAGGCGTTCCCAGGCCAGCCGAGAAATATAATCTCCCCAGCAAGTCCTGGGCCTCCTCCCGGTGGGACATGCCCAGAAAACCTTGCTCAGGAGGCGCACAGGGGGCATCCTTGTTAGATGAATTTCTCCGTGAATCGCTACCTTATCGTGGTGGAGGAGTTTGTGTGTCCCAGGGATCCCAGGGGCTATGTTGTCTGGGGGCTTTTGCCCCCTGGTAGGGTGTGACCAGACAAAGAGCGATTCAGCAGACCCCCATGAAAAGACCATCGAGGCAACAATTCACCCAGCCCAGGATAGGGTTACCGGGGCCACGCCCTGGAGCCAGGCCCGGGGAGGGTGCCTGGGGGTGAGCGTCTGGTGGCCGGGCCTTAGTCCATGGGGCCCGGCTGGGCACAGCCCAAAAAAGGGACATGGGCCCATCTCCCTGCAGGCCCACCACCCGCAGGAGGCACCGTAGGGATTGGGTGCAATGTGAGTTGGGCGGCGGCCGGGAGCAGAGGCCCTGGCGGACCGATCCCCAGCTACCAAGACTGTAAGGTTTTATATTAAGGCTAAACATCTCCGTGTGCTTATGCATTGATAGTTGATCTCAATATACAATGACATGTCACAGAAATCAATCCGTGACATATATGTTGTGCAACTACATGTTTTGCTGATTTTTCAATCTTAGTGCCACAAATGCAAATAAAAAAAGTGATGTCAACCGTTTTCCTGTTGACACTGTATGCATTTATCCAACCTCCTATTTTAACACTAGAACACTAAACTTGTTAACCTTTTCAACCTACAGGAACATATCAGTTTGGAAACTAAGAGGATTACACAAGCGGAATATATTTAACACTACCATCACAGGTGAAAAAGCTTTTTCAAAAGCCAGTACCATCAAAGACTGCATTTGCATAAAAGCAGTGCAGTGAATTTTGGTAAAGCTTCGAGGCTTTCACTGTGAAACAGCAGCTAATGGGTAAATTTGGTTTAACTGGAGATTTGCCAATTTTCTTTAGCTTTTTTTTTTTCATTGCCAGAGTGAAGCAAAGAGGAAAGAAAGCTCTGAATGACAGTAGCTTCCACATTAAGCTGGAGAGAGAGCTCGCCCACAATCACTCTATCTTTGAGGGGTTTTCAGGTAATGAAAGCCCCAGAGGGCTAAAGACCATGTCTTTCGAATAAGTTCATACATGATGTTAATGATGCTACTAAAAATAGAGAAGGAGGGGGGGTAAAAAGACCTTTTTCGGTAGTTCGGGAGTTCACATGTGGTTGTAAAACTACACAAATGTCACCAAACAGTTTGGAGGACGTCCTCGTCTCTCGCAAAGCATTGAAAGGATCCGACTCTGCAATTTTCTCCGAGGAGCAAATGGACATAAATGTCTCTTTTAACTCTAGCTGTCCTCTAATACTGTCACAGTTCCCACTTTAATATGTGTGCTGAATCCAAAGGGAGCAAAGCAGCTTTTAGAAAAGAGATAAGGGACTCGAAGGTGGGAGATTTCTGGTTCAGCTTATTTCACTTGAAAAAGTGTTCAAGTAAATGGGTGAATTTCACTGTTGGGTGTGTTAGGAATTTGTGCTATTAAATTAGGAGAAATTAATTAGTAATCATTCATAAACTGATTTTTTCAAATCTGTTTTGAAACAAAGAAAAGGGAAGGGCAATGAGACGAGAAAGATGTGCGATTTTTGAGCCCACAGTCTCCAACACGTCAAACCACTATAGTAATGTCATTCCACATGTGCGTGTTTGACTAGCATCCCGGTCACCACATTAAGTAGCATAATATTTGCTGTTACTCTAACAGGTCAACACTGAATCAGCCCTGGTGCGGGGCTAGCTGTATCTGTGCTGCTCTAATCTTTACCTGTCTGAGTACATAAGCTATTAAAGCCCTCACAGGCCAAACTGTTTGTCTTCCAGCAGTATACGCTGGTAAACAACACCTAGATGGTGGCGGGATCCTGCACACTACAGTCCTGTCAAACCTGGCAGCATATTTACATGCAGATGTTCATTTAAAAATATCTAAGGCCTTAGAAAAAAACTAGTAAAACATGTTTTAATTATGCTTTCTTTGCTTTTAAAAAAATTTATAAATAAACAGTTCACTTTCATTTCTAATGCAACACTTTTCCATAAGACTTTTAACAGCAGATGGTGAATACACTTTCATCAGAACGAATGAAAGATGAAGGAGAGACTGAGTACAGACCATAAACAATTTACCTGGGAGCCAACATTTTTTGGAGATTACAGTTTTAAAATGATGGCTGTCTGGCGCGTCGTTAAAAACAAGAAAGATTGGGTAATTATCAGGAAAAGTTATTCACGAAAAAGCAATGAAAACGACAGACCAAAACAAATCGCACCACAACAGTTTCTTCCCTCCCACGTTAGCCCACAGCTAAAAACACACACACACACAAAACAAACACAAAAAAACCCACCAGATTTTGTGCTTTGCTTGTTTAACCCTGTGACTACATTCTGTTGATTGTCCTTATGGCCGAAATGCTGCTTGCACCTACAATTATGCTCAGCACCACTCCTTAAAATGCCCATTTATCATCCTGACTGCAATACATCTCCTCAGTACAAGCCGGCATCAGCTGATTGAGAGGTTGAATAAGCAAAAAGTAAGGATAAGGATGATTTTCAGCTCATTCAAAGATTTTGAAGATTTTTCAGACCTGCCTACATTATTTTGAATGGACCTTAAATTCCAGTGAAGATTTTATAACACTACAGTAGTTACAAGCATGACTTACTCTGCTTTAAAATGCCTTTCACCTTCAGCCTTGCTCTGCAGAAGACTGTGATGTATAGGGCATGTTTAATATGGTTGCAGGGGTTTCTATCAGGAGTGTGGAAAGCGCAGCATCAGACAAAACTGTAGAAAACAGCTTAGCGTGAGCAGTGCAGATACCGTTTCCAACAGTACAATGTCTCATGTCAGATTCATTGCCTTTATAAGAAAGCTAACTTTGCTAATGGCAGCATAAATGCCTTGATAAATGGCCTGTATTTGTATAGCGCTTTTCTAGTCCCTAAGGACCCCAAAGCGCTTTACACAACCAGTCATCCACACACACACACTCACACACTGACTCTGGTGACCCAAGCTACATTGTAGCCACAGCCACCCTGGGGCGCACTGACAGAGGCGAGGCTGCCGGACACTGGCGCCACCGGGCCCTCTGACCACCACCAGTAGGCAACGGGTGAAGTGTCTTGCCCAAGGACACAACGACCGAGACTGTCCAAGCCGGGGCTCGAACCGGCAACCTTTCGATTACAAGGCGAACTCCCAACTCTTGAGCCACGATCGCCTTGCATGGTGCTAATATCTTGCTTCAGGAGCTCAGAGAACAAAGTTTTCATTTTCAGGAAGTTCACTTTCCAGCTCTGTGCTTTTTAAAACTGGATTGACTCTATGAAGGTGAGAACTGTCTCCGAAGTATTACTCTACATTGCATCACACTTAAGAAAGCAACAGCCTTATAGGATGTTGAGGAGTCTTTGCATTGTAAACTATAAACCGCAGCAGTCGGTAGGACTTTAGTAGCACTGACACATGCCTGACATTTTTGTTTTGTTTTTAGCTCTGATTCTTTCTTTTTTCTTAAACTAAACAAGAGACATAGATAACTGAAACAATAACTTTATATTTTATGCATGTCCAAAGTCCCAAATTATTAGATGGGGAAGCAGGCTGTAGAAATGGAATTATTAACAAATAAAAGAAAGAAAGAAAGAAAACAGATTAAAA